AATAATAATTTATAAATTATCAAGGGTTAGGGAAGGAGGGGGTAGGAGAGGGAGGGAAAAAATGAGGAGCCGATACCAAGGTTCAAGTAGAAAGAAAAAGTTTTGAAAATGATGATGGCAACAAATGTACAAATGTGCTTGATGCAATGGATGGATGTATGGATTGTGATAAGAGTTGTACGAGCCTCCAATAAAGTGATAAAAGACAAAAAGAAAACACAGCAAGGAGAAAACCCAATGGAGTCCCGAAGGCCCAAAGAGGAGGACATTTTGAGAAGGCAGACGTGGTCAGCAGTGTGACAAGCTGCAGGATGATGAAGCAGGAGGGGGGCACAAAGCCAGCTGGACTGAGCAACTGAGACGCCCACATGGATTTTAGTGAAAGTGCAAAGGTCTGAACAATACTGGGAACGAGTAACTTCAAATGCAGCGACATTCCAATTGTGTTTGAATGGGTTTAAGAGGGGATTCAGACTTTGGTTGAAGTCCACCTGGGCATTTGCAAGAAAGCAGACCTGTGTACCAGCAGGCAAGTTTTCACTTGTGGTCTTAATAGACAGGCACAGCTTATGACTTGCTTTTGGAAATGCTCCAATTTAGTGTTCAAAAGACTGGGCTGTCTTCGAAATGAAACCTGATGTAAACTGATCCATGCACTCAACGACCATTTGCCAAGGGAGCATTGTGTGTGGATTACTGACGTGTCCCACTTTATGCAGCACAACATGATGTCTTTCAATGAGAGGGAGTGAGAAATAGCACTGTCACATCTACAGAAACCTATTAAGCTCCCTGTCTGATACTTGCCACTAAGTGAGAACTACTAGTGTTGGTGCCAGGGTGTGTGTGGGTTTGTGGGGAGGTTGGGCAGAGTGTGTATTGGTCAAAATCTTAGAATCCCAACTCTTGCCTTGGACATTCATAATTTCACCAGTTTCTCTCTCTTTTTAAACAGCTTGGCCGAGGTATAACTTACACACCATAACATCCACTGATTCTAAGGGTGCGGCTGGTTCGTTTCAGCACGTTTGTGAAGCTGTGCTGCTACCACCACAGTTCAAGTGAGATCACTTCCCAAACCCCAGAAAATCTGCTTATGCCCCTTTGCAGCCAATCACATCTCCAGCCCGAGAGAATCACGGATCTGTTTTTTCTGTCCCCGTAGTTTTGCCTCGTTCTATAAACGGAGTTGTTCGACATCTTCTCTTTGGGTTGGCTCTCTTTCACTTCCCGTAATGTTTCTGATGTTGACCAGGCTGTGGCAAGCATCAGTCGTTCGTTCATACTGCCGAATGGTCTTCTTTGGGTGTACGGATGTACCATTTTGCCTAGCCATTCAGCTGCCAGTTGAAGGACATTTGCATTGCCCCTAGATTTGAGCTATTATGAATAATATGGCTGTGAATACTCAAGTACAAATGATCTGTGGCCGTAGGTTACCATTTCTAAGTGGCTAATGATGTTGAACATCTTTTCATGTGCTCATCAGCTAGCTGTTCATGTATCTAGCTCTTTCTCTTTGTTACGGTGGCTATTCAAATCCTTTGTCTATTTTCGCTATCGGGTTGTCTGTCTTATTCTTGAGTTGTAAGGGTTGACTCTGGTTCTTAATAGCAGACTAGCAATCAAGCCTCAATGAACAGACTCTTCTTTGCAGATAGGCTTATTCTTCCTGCCCTCTGATGTTACTTGCCACCATCACTACCTCCCCAGCCTACCTCTTTAGCGACCACTTCTTCCACCTTTTCCTGGAATCTCAACCATCAGCTCCACTCTTGAGTTATTGCTTTCTCTTATCAATCTTATCCACACCACCCTCAAAAGCCATTCCTCCATCATCTCCTGTAGCACTCTTTATTTATTGAAAACAAACTCCCATGCACCTTAGATTTAGTCTAAAATGTTTCCCCTCCATCTCCTCACTGGAATTGAAGTTGGCTCCCCTCTTGAAGACCACTTTCTTCAATCTGCTTAATGATAGGGCCACCTTGACCCTTTCTTCGACTCATGGCTAGACGGCTTCCTGCTTCCCAGTATCACACTCCCACTCAGATCCTGATCGCTCTGCCATTTCTCAGTAATTGCCACCTTCTTCCTTTGGAAGTCCATGCGATCCACTAACATGGCTTCCAGCCTACCTGGTTTGCTCTTCCCCTTACTCTAATGCTTACTCTCAAGGCCTCAACCATCAATGCTTCCTCTCCCTCCAGACACCACTCACATTCTCTGACCTACTACCTTCGAATAGAATGAGAAGTGGACACTGCATTCTGCTCAATACTTCACCCTCGAGATCCCTGAATCACTTACGTTATTCAGTTTCCAAGACCTTCCGGTCTATTCAGGAGCGGTGGGCCCTGCGGATCATCCCATTTCTTCCTGAAACTTTCTCCTCCTCTGCCTCCATGATAGTCTCTTCTGCATCTTCTACTTCTCTGCTAACTCATCTGCCTTTTCAAATTAGCTCCCTCCTTCACTTCCTCTATGCAGGTATTCTAAAGCAATTGCTTGTGGACTCGCTATGGTGCACTTCCAGCCTTGACCCTTTCCACAAGCTGTAGACACACCGAAGCTCTCTGTGCGGATGTCCTGCTCCCAGGATGACACAGTCTGCTCAAGGTGCAACTGATTGTTCCTCCTACGTCTGCTTGGGCTCCCATGCTTTGCACCCTGGCGACTTACTACACTGGCATATAACCTTGCTCCCTTTGATCTCTTTCCATCATTGTGAAGTACTGGTGACGCCCTCGGGATGCCTCTCCTTCTATCTCTTCCTTGGACCAGTTTCTATATGAATTCTAGCCCTTCTACCTCCCACTTCATCTCCAATCTGGACTTCCTGCCTCCACTCTTCTCAAATCATTTTACAGAAAAAGGAAAGACTCTAATCTAACCTGATGAAACGTTTTCACACGTCACAGGATACATCCCAGACTCTTTATTGTGGTTTTGGATGACCCCGGGAACAGAGCCTCAATTTGCTTTGCAGACAGACCGTCCCTCTGCACCTTCTGCTAGGTTTCCTTAGAATGGCAAAGATGCTTCTGCCTTCTTGCCCCTTCTGGCCTCCCATAAGCTATTCCTTCTATTATTCAGCCTCGCATGCCTACAGCTGCCCAATTCCAAACGTGCTATCTTAAAGCACCTCCGCCTCCACGGGGTGCAAGGCTGCTTGGGCAGATCTTCTCTCAATGCTCAGGTAGTTTCTGGAGACTGGGCTGAGAGAGGAGGCTGGCCTTTCCAGTTAAAGTCAGGTGCCTTTCTAGCAAGGTGCAAGGCTAATTACCCTCGCTGCTATTCGGCCCCAGTGTTGCTATCCTGCGTTTATGGGGATGCCTGCTGCCTTCAGTCTGTGAGGGGCAGACTTCACCCCAGTCCACTTGGTGCGTAGTTACAGATGGCTAAGGGCTTCTCTTCCCAGGTGGCAAAGCTCTTGGATTCCTGAGGTGCCAGCAGGATGCTCCTTTGGGCAGATGTTCTATTTGTTTGTTTCTTAATTTTAATTGTTTGACTGGCATATCACGATATAAAGCTTTAGTCACATGAATAAGACTGTGCAGTCACTACCACAATCAGTTTCAGAACAGTTTCTTCTCTTTCATACTCTTTATGGTTAGCTCCCCATTTCTGCCCAAAGTCCCCCACCATCACCCAGGTAATTATTGATCCAGTCTACTGTCTCTAGAGCATTACCTCTCCTGGATTTCATATACAGAAAATCACACGAAACAAAAACAAGAAACAAACAATCAAAAAGCTCCAACAATGACAAAGCAAAATGGGGTAAAACCTCCATCGAAAAGAAAGCAGAAAATCATAAAAATGGAAACATCTTTAAAATGGGTCAAAAGGGAGATTGAATGATGAGGTGTTACATTTTCATCCAACTCCATCTTGGGAAATGTTTTTGAATAAAGGCTGTATTGAAAACATACTGTGGATGACTGTCAGACAAACAAGTTCATTTTTATATGCAAAGAAAACCAAAATGAGTGGCATTGGTAGTTTCTTAAAAAGTAGTGAACTTTGGATGTAGGACAGGCGATGGTGCATCTGTGGTTGAATCTGGGCCCTCCATGTGGGAGACCGGGCTCAATTCTTGGCCTCTGCACCTCAACTGCAGACACTTCCCATGTATCAGAGGGGTCCGATGGGCTCCTATGATGCTGAACCGTTTTCGGTGGAGCTCCAGACTCAGACGGACTGGGAAGAAAGGCCTGGTGATGTATTCTGAAATCCAGCTAGTGGAAATCTATGGACCGCAATGGTCCGCTCCTTCAATGATCGTGAGGATGGCAGAAGCAGGGCTTCTTTCCATGGTGCATGGGGTTGCCTTGAGTTGAGGGCTGGCTCGAGTACAGCTAACAACAATGAAAGACAGTGGAAGAGAAAAAGACAGGCAAGAATAACACTTTACCACGTCGGACTTGGTGGTGAACTTCTGCGTCTGCAGGCTCTCCAGAGCCATCCACTTCACTGGCAGCTTCGCCCCGGTTTTGTTGTGCACACTGTAGTATTCCTTATCATACATATCCCGGGCAAGACCAAAATCGGCAACTTTGACGGTGAATTTTCCATCCAGCCTACAGGAAAGGACAAAATGTATTACTGATGGCTGAAGTAGAGGCGTTGGCAGCAATTCTAACTCTGTGTGCGTGCTAACATGACTTCAGGATTTGAAATCCCTAATTTCTGAAAGGAGGGCTTCCGCTGCCCTCCATGGACCAGCAGTAAGTAACACGGAATTCCCCAAGCAAAGGGCTTGGCATTGATCTTACAACAAGCCACGAATGGCATGGGGCTAGAAAACCCTTCTTGGTTTAATGCAGATCTGGAGAAACTGTAAAACTGGGTCCCCTTCTAGCCTTCCCTTGGCTGCTCCACAGAGTGGGACAGCTGGCTACTCAAAGCAATCACCCCCTAAAAAAAAGAACAAGCCATGCCAAAGTCACTGCCATGGACAGGACAGAGAAGAACTGCCCCTGTGGTTTCTGAGGCTGTAACTCTTCATAAGAGCAGCAAGCCTCATCTTTCTGCCTTGGGGCGACTGGTGGTTTTGTACTGTCGACCTTGAGGTCTGCAGCCCAATGTGTAGCCACTATGCCACTAGGGTTTACTGGTCTTCATTGATCAACTTAAAAGTATTACTTGGTTGTGTGGGGAAGTAACCTAAAGGGGGTTGTAATCTTACTTTTTCATTTTCTGATTGGTTAGGCTGCTGTGTGCACTCAGGTTGATTTCCACTCACAGGGACCGTATAGGACAGAGTAGAACAGGAGACCCATTGGGTCTCCTAGGCTGTCATCTATACAGGAACAGATGGTCAGATCTTTTGACTGGCCTTTTGGTTACCAACCAAGAGTTTAACTCTTACACCACCAAGGCTCCTCGTTGGCTAGGCTACGCGTACCATGTAGTCTATCAGTAGGCCAATGGATAGTTAGTAAAACGTCTAAAAAAAAACAGCAAGGATCAACCCAAACCAATTGCCTCTACCCAAGGCTTGCCTCCTTTGTTTAATCAGACTTCCATGTTGCTGCTACATTTGCCCGAAACCAATGCAGGGGAATACAAATTCCATTCACACATACCATAAGTCATGAATCAGCACCACGCAAAGGAAAGTACTGAATCAATGACAAACTGTTGACTGTTGTATTATACAGTCCAGGCAGCCAGACACAAATAACACTCTTTGTATATTCATTCCCAGACACTGTTTTTGGTGGAGCTTCGGCAGGCTGACTTCCAATCCACTCTTGGGAAGTTGTTACATATTGTGATGTGTGTCACTAGCTCTCTTTCTTTTCACCGTAAAATGTGGAAGATCAAATTTTCCCTCCCAAACACTAATGCAGTGTGAAACCACCACACTGGGGGCGGCTGATGGGAAGGACCAAGAAAAGTGAAAGTGCGCAGCAGCTGGGGACGACCCCCTGTGGAGAACTGCTTCCAAAGTCTCTGTGCGATGAAACCTGCAAGGCCCTCCTCCGTTCCCATGGCTCACACATCAATCTAACGCTGTAACAGAAGTCAAAGGCGTTTGCATAAGAAGAGAAGAAACAGCTCAGGGAGCAGGCAACAGTGGGAAACTAGATCCCCCTGTCCCATGGTTTGGGCTGTGGCACAGGGGCTCTCTCATACTTACATACAGTTCCTGGCGGCCAGGTCTCTGTGGACAAACTTTTTGCTGGCAAGATATTTCATGCCCTTGGCGACTTGAAGACCAAAGCCAATGAGATCTTTCACAGTGGGGCTCTGCAAGCGAAGGGGGGTGGGCAACCACAGAGTTAGCGCATTCTGTTCTCAGGCTGACCACTTACAAGAATGATTTGTCTAAAGGATAACGTGTGCCTCCTTTGATAGCATCGACCATTTAGTAAATACCAACTATTGGGCCTGGGAGAAGAAGATGGGGCTTTCTACACCCAACAAGATTTACAGTCTTGGAATCCCCCAGGTGCAGTTCTACTCTGTCCTATACGGTGGCTAGGAGTGAGAATTTACTTGATCACAGAGAGTTTAAAAGGCCTGTGATCCACCCCCCAAAAACCAGCTATTGGAATCACTGCTCCTACTCTGACACACCTGAGAGCCAGCCATGAGCTGAATCTACTGAACAGGTTGGGTGTTCGTGTACAGAGTCCCTGAGTGGGATGAATAGTTAATGCACTTGACTGCTAACCAAATGGTGGTTTGAATTCACCCAGAGGTGCCTTGGAAGAGAGGGCTGGCTGACTAGCTCCGGAGACATCAGCCACTGAAAACTCAGTGGAACACAGCTCGACTGGCATACATCGAGTGGCGGTGAGTTGGACTCAACTCAGCGGCAGCTGCTTGGTTATCTTATGTCAAACCCAAAGCTACGTCTTTTTAGACATTATAGCGAATCCTTATCCACCCCAGTGAGGTAGGTATTGCTGGCGCCACTTTACAGATGCAAATAAATCACCTAAACACAGACGGTTAGTGGCAGAGACAGGATCTGTGTCATGACTGCTAGGCTCCTACACTCACATGGTAGAAGCATCAATCTCATTGAGTAGAAAGATAGAGAACTCTACAGTGGTTCTTCTGTAGGTACTGGGACAGCAGCTCACAACTCCAGTGCCCACGACCAGTCAGAGAATATGCTCCGCAAACTCTAGCCACAAGACCGGAAGGACGCAGGAATGCCTTTAGATCAATGATAAGGATGATCTCTGACACTGCATACATGTCCCAGTGGCACCAGGAATACAGTGTCACTCCTTCAGTCACTGTAAGCCCAAGAAGCAAGAGACACAGACTGTGGGGCCCTGGACGAAGGGCTGTAGCCCCTAAATGCATACAGTGTGTGGACAGGACAGTGCCGTGGGTTTCAAGTTGCTCTGTAAGACATTGCTGTGTTACTGCCATGTGTCCCGGGTTTGATTCCTGGCTAAGGCACCTTGTGTGTATTCACTACCAGTCTTTCAGTAGCAGCGTAGGCGTTGTGATGATGCTGAGCATTTTTCAGGGACGCTTCCAGACTAAGATAGTCTAAGAAGAAAGGCCTGGCTACAGACTCCCCCAAATCAGCCCCAAGCTCTATGGATCACGATCACAATCCACAAGAGATCATGGGGATGGCACAGGACCTGGCCGTGAGTCAGGAGTGAGTGGAGGACCACAAACAAGGACTCCGTGCTGGCGGTCCCTAGCAACTCCTTGGGAATGAACGTCATGGTGTTTGGGCAGTAGGGGATCTGTATCATGCTTTAACTCCAGGGAAATAGGACCTGCTCCCAAAAGCAGAGAGCTAGGAAACCCACCCAGACTAGCTTAGCAGATAATGACCAAAGTTCAAGTGCCAGGCAGGTCTGTCTTGGTCATTTGCTTTCTGCAAAAATCTACTGCCCTGGAGTCTTCAAGCCCTTTGGCTGAGCACAAACTACTTTCCATCTCTGTAGCTTATTTTCTTCAAGGAACTTGACCCTGTGTTTATAAAGTTGTTTCTGATCAAGAGTAAAGCAATTCCAAGAACTCCCACAGAGAGCCAGCCAGCAGGGCTGAGGAGGGGACATTCCTGATTTTCAGGTCTGGAGGCGCCTCCTTCCCTCCTCCCAGGCCTGGCCAACACGTGTTCACCCTTTCGGTCCTGTCAGAAATGCCACTTACAAAACCATGCATAAGAGCCCAAGAACCGCTTTTGTAACACTGAACTCATACTTCAACACACTTGCATTTGAATGGGATGTGGGTGCACACACACAGACATACTTACCCACAGATACCTGAGGGGACTGCAGAACGTTTGTGGGAAAATTCCCTCATCTGTTCGTTCCACTTTCCCCAAACTTTCTGAACCCCGCTTGTGTATACACTATGTTTTTCGCATAGACCACACACATGTAAATATCACACACACACATGCATATACTGTACATAGCCTGCAGAGGAAACTATTGAAGGGGCTTCGAGGTTTTAAAAAAACACAGACTCTGTGTGTTATTTACATAAAAATATGGAAGTTATTACTTGTTTATTGTCTACTACTGCCCTGTCCAATAGAAATAAAATGCAAGCCACGTACATAACCTAAACACATGGGCAGTTCTACTCTGTTGGTAGGGGTCACTGTGAGTCAGAATTGGCTTGGGGGACAATACACTTGGTTTGTTGGTTTAATAATCACACAGAAAAATAAAAGTAAACAGGTGAAACTACTTTTCATAGTATATCTTCCAGTCAATATATCCAAAGTGTTATCATGTCAACATGGAAGCAACAGAAACACACCATTTATCTCCCTTTTTAATACTAAGTCTGCATACTACAATTCAACATCTGGATTTGACACTTAGGGGACATCTCAATTCATACTCGCTGCACTTCACGTGTGGCTGGTCGCCAGAGCACTGGGTATTCCCACTACGGGAAGACGTGCGGTGGAGGACAGTGAAGTTAAGCAGGGGAAGGATGGGCCAGCTGCAAGGTCAAACAAGCCAGGAGAGCCTCAACTTGAAGCCGATGGTTGGGCAGAGATAAAGGAGATGAGGCATGCAGCTGTGTGCGGCGTGTGTTGTAGGGGGCGGGGAGAGGGCAGTGGTCCAGGAGGAGGGCACACGGGGGCAAAGGTCTCATGGGAGGAGGGTACGTGGCAAGATCAAGGAAGAGTGAGTGGATCGCTTGGGATGGAGGGCTCAATGGCTTCTCCTGTGGAGCTACAGCTGCATGTGGGCGGAAGCCGGCTCTGTCTTCTGGTTTCCCGCGCCACCGCCGTGTTCAGTTTCTGGCACACTCAAAGATGGTTACGTGTACCAAGCAGATAGAGCAGTGGTTCTCAACCTGTGGGTCGAGACCCTGTGGAGGTCGAATGAGCTTTTCACAGGGGTCACCTGATTCACAATAGTAGCAAAACGACAGTTTTGAAGTAGCAACAAAATTAATTTTATGATTTGGGGGTCACCACAACATGAAGAACCGTATGAAAGGGTTGCGGCATGAGGGAGGTTGAGAGCCACTGGGGTAGAGTAAGCCTGCATCCACCCTCGCCAGTATCCCAGTTTTTTTTTACCCCAACAGGATCGAGGATTTTGAAGTGCAAATGAATGGAATTAGCCTCTTCATTTCAACCATGCTGAATTCAACACGTGTCTTTCGAGCGAAGCTTTCCCAAGGGTTCAAGGCAGACATCTTTGGGACAGGCGGGCTGGTGAATGAGCCGCTGGTTCACCGGCCAGTGACGCTGGTCAGATACTTACGTGAGTCTCATTTCTAATGAAGTTCCGAAGGTCTCCGTGCTTCATGTACGGTAGGACCACCAGAGGAGACCCCTCACTTCGAAGGCAGATTCCCAAGAGTGAGAGAACGTTGGGATGGCTGAAGTCTTTCATGATGATGCCCTCGGTCAGAAACTGGGAAACTTCTCCGATGTCCGTGATTCCTGAGCAACGCAGAGAGGGACACATTCGCTTTATTGTGAAGCAAACCCCAGGCTGACGAGAATCCTGAGACAGTCTCTTTACTGTTTACTACAGTGGATGGTGCCACCCCACACTGTACCTACAGGTCGCCATCAACACCCATCTCCACTGTGATGACCCCCTCACTGCCATTGGTTTGATTCCCACTCGTAGAGACCTCGAAGGGCAGGGCAAAACTGCTCCTTCAGAATTTGGAGTGTGTAAATCTTTATGGGAACAGAAAGCGACATCTTTCCTTCATAGAATGGCTGGTGGATTTGAACTCCTCACCTTGCAGTTAGCTGCCCAACACGTAGTCCACCATGCCACCAAAGCTCCTTCTACACTGAGAGTCTACCAGTCAGTGTCTTACATGCAGGGGCAGACTTATCCAATTCAGAAAGAGGCTAGGCAAGTAGGCCTGTCCGTTTTTATAGCAGTCGTCTGGGAAAACTTTTCCTGTGAAAAGCCAGATCATCTCCCATTTTTGGCTTCGTGGGCCATGTAACCTTCACTGTGACTACTCAAGGCTGGTGGCATAACAGTTAATTGTTCAGCTGCTAAATGAAAGACCGGCCAGTGGCTCAAACCCACCTGCTGCTCTGTGGGTGCAAGATGCCCCCGCCTATTCCTAGACATCTACGGCCTTGGAAAGCCTATGGAGAAGAGTTGGAGTCGACTCAATGGCATTGATTTTTGACAGCTACATTTTATTACATTCACTCAACGCTGCCATTGTACGAAGGGCAGGCTTGGCCAATATATGGTTGTATCCAGTAAGCTTTATCTGTGAAAACAGGCTATCGTTGGCTAACTCCTAGATGAGGAAAAATTTGAAGGCCCATCACCATATGATATCTTTACAGATTTTCTTTTTAGAGGATTAGAAATGGTTCTCATTATTTCCAGTTATCAATACCTGAGGGCTGATATTAGCATTGAAGAGTCAATCATGTTTAACTCTTTAATCTGACGGGAAGCTCTCTGCTGATAGTAATAGTATTGGTACATAATTTCACAAAGGCAATGTATTCTGAGACCCAGAATACATTGAGCCGCCGGAGGTCGACAGGGACCAAGTCCGTACCGGTGCAGCGCAGGGACAGAAAGATTTCTCAGTGTTAACTGTGTCCTTACACTGAGGCTAATTGGCAGAGTTTCCTTCTTTCTGGAAGCAAATTTATTGACAACCATACTCAATCTATCATAGTTTGTAGCTAGATTTCATACAGCCTGTCCCTTTAATTACCTTGTGGTCAGATTGCCAACAGAATCAATCATGCAGAGCAGTGCTCAGCAGAGAGGTTTATATAAAGACAGTTGGACTCATCCTGCAATAATGCATCTTGCAGGGAAAGCTGCCACGTGTGTCTTTGGGGCGTATTAATTCCCAGGTCCACACACTTATAATGCAACTGATGGCATATTTGGGCTTCTGCTAATTACAAGCCGCCATTTAGAAATGGTGGGGGAAAAGCAAGCACACAGACTTGACTCGGGGGCTCTGCGAGCATCAGTGGAGACAGGAAAACCCTAGAAATGGAGTCCACTGAGCTGCACAGTACAGCAAGTTATGGCCATCATGAAGGCGCAGGGCCATCCATCCAGACTTAGCTTAGGGCTGGAGGCATTCTGAAACAAGCATGTCTTAAAATGCCATTCATTCAGCGGAAAAAGAGTTTCCCAGTAGCTGCCACAATGACCAAAAGAAATGTTTGAGCACAGAAAGGGGTTAAGCCTCAGTTATTCAGGAAGTTCATTAGGCGGATACCTTATTCCTCAAAAATGCAGCTAAATGAGGTACTACCATATTTAATATTTTTTCAAGTTTTCTGCCAACATATTTTTCTCCTGTTTGTCTCATTTCATTTTTTATCTATTTAATGGGAGTTGTGGTTAAAAAATAAATGATAGTAATGCCTGTGGGCAAAATGAGTCATTCTGACTGCACGTGCCAACATGCTTCCAATAGTTTCCAGAAATGTCATTTGCAAAGCAAATATTATAAGCCAAACACAGTTCAACGATACTCGGTTCATCTCCAAACGTAACGTTTCTTACATCCCTACCTGCCGGGGCTCTCCGGGGTCATTTCAGAGGTGTTACCTCAGTTCAGAGTTTAGACCAAACCTGCTTGCAGGAGTAGATCTATAATTCCAGCAGGAGCCGAGTTTCCCTCCAGGGTAGGTGTAATTCAATATTTTATTATAAACTATTTATTAGTTTGCAAACCACCAATGGGTATTTTGCTGTTAAATGCAACTTACGATTCAAGGACTTCACAGCACAGTGGATTTTCCTGTCATCATTGTCCAACAGAGTCCCATGATACACACACCCGAAATGGCCTGTGTGAAGAGCGAACTTGTTTAGTGTTGCATTATTTATCTATACATATATATATATGTGTGTGTGTGTGTGTGTGTGAGAGAGTGTGTAGTGGTCAAGTATACATGACAAACACATTTGCCATTGTAGTGTACAGGCAGTGACATCACTTACATTTACCATGCTGGGTCACCCATGCGACTTTCCATAGCCACATGTTTTCATCATCCCAAGCAGGAACCCAGACTCCCTTAAGCAATAGCTCCCCACTGGCCTCTCCCTTGGTCCATGGTAACCATGACTAGTCTTTTGGATGTTTCCTATAAATGGGATCATGCAAGATTTGCCCGTGTCTGCCTTTCCCCTGAAGATGTTTTCAAGATTCATTTGTGCTGCAGCATGCGTCCCATCTCCATTTCTCTTATGGCCGAGTAGCGTCCCAGGGCATCGATGCCCCCTGTCGTCAGATGCTCTGGGCGTATTCCATCTCACGGGGATATCACGCGTGTGAAGGGGAACTGTGCTCCACGCACTTTTCAAGAACGTGCCTTTGTGGAGCAGGGCAGCAGACCAATCCTGACTTGCCTCTGGGTGGGTTCCAATGACCAACCTTTTGACTGGAAGCTGTGCGTAACGATTTAATCATGCCCATACGTATACTGAGCCCTTGCTCATGTACCCTGAGCCCTTGCTCACCTTCCTTTCCTTCACGTTTCTTTTTTCGGCAAGAAGGAACATGCTTTTTTATATGTTTGATATATGTACATGCATATAACCCTGGGAATGTATAGCGATGATTATATATATATCACCCAAAGAGAGAAAAATCTGATTCTTTAAGACATGGTAAAATGCATGTTCAAGGATCTGCTATGAAGGGCTTACGTACTAAACTATTCACCCACAGTGGAACTCCTATACACAGGACTAACAAGTACTTCATAAAAAAGAAATGTACGGGGGAAAAAAAAAGAAACGTATGAATTGAATAATACCTTTTAAGTATATAAATATAGTTTGCTTTCATGAAGAAGTTTAAGAACGCCAACTCAGTATATCGCAATTATGGAGAGGAAATAAAACACGGGGAAAAGGATTTCCCCATTAGTCACTGATTAATAAGTCATCTAGGTTGGCAGAAACTGAAAGGCAGTTGCCTCAAAGAAGCCAGTTGCCTGTGACTCACTTCATCCCCTTCTCTCGGCTGCAGCCTCAGCCCTTTCCCAGAGGCAGCCTTTTGCCCAGTGGCCATAATTCTCCCCAGAGGTGCCAAATGTCTGATGGCTGTGTGACCTTCAGTTATCAGTCCAGCCCATCAGCCAAGACTGGAGAGTGTTTCTGAGCCCGGGCTGCCTTCTTGGAGTGGGATGTGACTACAAGGAGATCTCTGCTCCGGAGCATCCTCATTCTACTGGGCGGCAGCATGTGCATCCGTGAGAGGGACTCTTCCTAAGACTCTAGTCATCAAGGAATAACTATCATCGTTGCACCTTTTGGATTAAACCCCCCAACTTTAGCTTTACAATGTTCTAGAATTAGTACATAATTAGTGAGGTCATGCACCCTGGAATGGATGCAACCACTGGGATTTGATGGCTGGTAATGGACCCATATATTACTCTGCTGTCAGACCTGGAAACATGCTTGTTAACAGCGACCCTGTCTTATGAAGGAGGCGCATGGCAGAGGCTCGGGTCTGGAGGGTGTCCAGTGTGTGCGGTCTGATGTTCATGGATGACCAGTCTCCCCCTCATTTTGGGAGCATCGAGCTAGCAGATGTCGTACCACCATGCACAGCACACACAGTGAAAGGGATCAGAAGCCACTCAGTAAACGGGAGGGGCCTCTTTAGAAATAAGAGAGAAGGGAAAAAAACCCCAAACCCCAACCAAACCTCGCTACCATGGAGTCCATTCTAACCCAGGGTAGAACTGTCCCTGTGGATTTCAGAGGCGGTCTCATCTTTCTTCCTCGCCTCATCTTTCTCCCTCGCGGTGGCAGGTGGTTTCAAACCATTGACCTCATGGCTAGCAGCCCAATGTGTAACCACTACAACACTAGTGGCTCCCCAAAGGGAAGAGTGAAGTTCATTTTTGAGCTAAAAGGTTTCCCTCCTGGTTGGTTTCTTTTCCTGCTAAATATGTCCTCAAATACTGTTTATGCTAACCGTTATTGCTGCCCCGGAGGGTTTATTTCAAGTACCCCCTTCTCCCCGTGTAAAGCAAGATGATGTATGCTGCTTCAGACCCTGGGAACGCTATGCATCCCCTGCCTTCTGATGCTGTCCCGCAGCACGCTGGCGGCTATAAACCAGGACTTGGAGGTGCAGCCACAGTTCTCAGGGTAAAGGAGGCTCTGGGCAGTGAGGAGGGACAATCCTGGATTTAAAGGAGTGATTTTTAAAGGGCAGCACATGGCACTTTACAAAAAACTAGAGTTGCCACTGTGAAAAAGGCGAGGGAGGGGTGTGATTTGTTTCCTAAAGCATTAGGGAGATTATCAGCTTGCCCCACTGCCAAGGGCCAGGTCCCCATGGGTAGGGCTTGCAGGGCTGTGTTTCAGAGGGAACAGGAATCAAATGTGCTTATTATCACTGTGCGGTCAGTGGCTTTGGCCATTGTCTAAATCCCTAATCTGCAGAGGCCGAAGATAAAATGCTCCTGGGGAAACGGCATGTAACAAAAGGCCGAGTGGAAAGACTTACCTCTTCCTATGACTTCATTGAAATGCACAATCAGGCTGCTGGGCCCGATCACGACGTGCTGGACGGCTTGGACCAACTCAGGGTTTAGAGCGCTGAGGTCAATATGGACAGTGTTCTGCAGTAATGGACTGGAGATGTCAGAGTCCCCACTAGTTAGAATGGGGGACAGGTCCGGCAGGGGGTACTGCACTTGTCGGCATGATCCGTTCTGAGATGAGTTAGGAAACTGGTCTGCAAGATAGAGTGGGATTGCCCAGGACACAATCAGGAGAGCTCACTGAGCTAGGCCTGGACGGGGCAGCAATGTGGATTAATAGCAAAGTCTAAGTTCTGAAATGAAGGAACTGGCGGTTAAGTCAACGGATAAGGCTAAGGAAAGCCTTTGCAAAGGAATTGGCTTAACGAAAGAGATACTAAGTTGGCTTATTACATATACAAGTGTGCTTGAAAATATTTGCCAACATTTTTTTTAAAGCAGGCGAAGCATTATGTTTTGAAATTTGTTAATCCCTCTATATTTCCTTAGAGTCTTCACTTGTTATAAATAAGGCCGGAGTTGAGGTTTGTCTTTGGAGATAGTCTAATCTGAAGAAGTCAAGGACTGCCTTGTACCACAAAAATAAACGTCCAATGGAAGGAAAAGAAAATGAGACCTTTTGAGAGACAAGCGGTCACTCACGGAATTATCGTATATACTCGAGTATAAGCCAACCCAAATATCAGCCAAGGCACCTAATTTTACCACAAAAACTACATTAAAAATGTGCTGAAAAACTTAGTTTATGCATGAGTATATATGGAAATTAGGACTGCATTAAACCTCCACGGGTTCTTGGCAAGGAGAAATATAGACATCCACACAGGTAGCTAGCTAGGTTTAGAAATCTTCACGGGAGTGAACAGCCTCATCTTTCACCGGGACTCAGCAATCATTCCGAGGGGAAGGATGAGACTGTCTACTCTCATCAAAGTGTCAAGTCTTGAGAACCCAAAGGGCCTTGTCAGTCTGTCCTGTAGGGTAAGTATGCGTCAGAACAGACTTGATGGCAGTGAGTAAGTTATTTCTGGTCCTACTTAATCATTCTGGTATTTTCTACAATGGACATTCTGGTTAATCACAGATCATCCTGGCCTAGGTCGTAAATCTCAACAGCAGCCCCCCACCCCACCCTGCTCAGAGCAGTTACTTTCTGGAAATAGGTAAGGTGCAGTCTTCAATGAAGGCTACAGAATATCACGGAAGAACATGCAACGTTAGGTGGGTGAGGTAGGGAGGAAACCTGGTTGGGTGCCTCTTCCTTGATTCCCCACGAGTCAGGTTCTCTAAACCTTTCCCAAGGGCTGGAAATGAAAGTGAATGCACCTCCTTCATTGTCATTTTCCAGGTTTCTGCCCCTGGAGTTCAGGGTCCTGCATTCTCGATGGTGCAGAGATGCAGGGCGTCCTTGGTAAGACTCCGAAGACAAGTCTTCAGGAATGCTACCTGCTGATGTCCCTTCACCTGAATTAAAACCTGCTCACAAACCAATCTACAGGGACAGTTTTGGTCCTGGTGAATTACCCGGAGAATACCGAGTTTGCACAAAAAAGACCGATGAAAAAGCTTTCTTCGCCAGCCACAGGGAAAAGCTCTGCAGTGGCCTCTTCATAAGGTCCTGGCTGTCTTCTCTTCCTTCTTCTCTCTGGAGGATGCCCTTCTGCCTACTTTGTCTTTCTACATCTCTAGAGAGGTAAAGCCAATTTAGAAAGGAGGATGAGACTTGAGTGTCTTATGCTAAAAGAGGGCATAGGTTAAAAATGTTTTAGCTACTTCAATGTATACCATATATGTGAATATGAGTTAATAAATAGATCTAAATATCAGAACTGTACACTGGATCTGAGGTGTCCATGTTTTGAAGGGCATGGCTTCCTAAAGCTAAAATAGAGTCAGGTGGGCAAAGACAATATTTACAGCTTTGTATCCCAGTAGAAGGAACATAAGGTTCCTTATAATAAGTCAGTGTTAGAGAAGTTAGTGTGCTGTGGCATTCTGCTCTTAGACTTGTTGTGATGAGCACCTTCTAACTTTTCCAGTGTCTTCAACCGTCTGTGACTCATTTTATTTGTCCAAGGGTAAATATTCAACCAGGGAGGTGCTTGTACTTGACTCATGTCCTGTAACTTCTAGAGATAATAGAGCTGATACAATACAGGCCATTTTGCTTTGACCAGGAGACTTCAGAGTGAAACAATGAGAAACACACCAGTTAGCATGACCATTTATTTGGCCCTAGTGTTTTGCAAAGCATGACGATGTTGGCCAGCCCTCCTCCTCTCTTTAAAAAAAAAAAAAGCATAATTGAAGGTTTTTCTTGGACAAGGCTCAAAATGTATTTACGTTCAGGAATGCTGTGGGGAAAAGTCTGTGTACTAATAGTTCACAGAGAATGTTTTGCTGGTGGACTAAGGTATATTGTAAATGGTTGGGGGGAGGTTCAACCAGTAATAAATGTAGCAGCAACAATTTCTATTTTCATAACCCTTCCTGTGTTACTCAAAAGAGCTGCATAATTTCTTAACCTTGCATTCTGACGACAAGCACGTTACCTTTGCTCAGATGAGCTCTGAAAGCACCTTTTAGTGAGAAGAGAGTGTAAGGACTCCAAGACATATCATATCTAGGGGCACCATTGTAAAGTGGACATCTACTTCCATGCCAATTTACAGACACTTTTTGGGCCAAGGAGGAGGTACCATATATACTCAAGTATAAGCCAACTCGAATATCAGATAAGGCACCTAATTTTAACCACAAAAACTGCATTAAAAATTTGCTGAAAAACTCGGCTTATACACGAGTATATACAGGAAATAATTCTTACATATTTTTATAAAAATATTAAAGCAAAAAAGACAATGATGCCATCACCCACTGAGGGAGCTGCACTGGTGTTTCTCACAACAACAAACGGAAACATACCTTCTGGAAATGTGGCCCGGTAGTCCACGGACTCATTTGAAACCATTTCCGTAGTTGGGCTTACACTTCGGGCACTTACAAGCCGATCCAAGTGAGGAGTGTGGACTCTTGCGTCATAGCAAACTAATTCACTGCCCAGATCTCCAAACAGAGAGAAAGAAAGAACTTGTTAAGGACGTGGCTCTGCTGGCTCCCAGTGGACCTCGACCCAGCGTGAGGAACTCACGGCTGTACGGATCACGTATCAGGCAGCTATTAAGGTAACACCTTAAAATAAGCCATGGTAAAATAAAAATGCACCTTTAATTTGCTTTCTCTTTTTCAGCCACAGGAAAAGCCCCAGGGATGATAAGAGTATGACTGATATTGAGACAACACCAACAATCAATCCTGTGAAATTCTGATCCGGCTGAACTATTACTTTTCCAAGGACAGTTGAAGAAACTGCTTGCTTCCACTGAAAATGACAATGAAAAGTCAGAATTTAGCCATGATAAATAGTTTCAAAATATAGCCCATAGGATTCATTGCTTTCTCTTAGTGCTAAAAATACTACTTGATTCCTGCCCTCCAAGAAGTGGCAGAAACTGCCTTCAGAATAAGTAGTCAGTGCTCTAGTAATTAACGCCAAATGCACTGCCACTGACTTGCCTGCTGACTTGCAGAAGCCCTATAGGCCAGAGTAGAGGCATGCCTGAGGGTTCCTGAGACTGCACATCTTTACAGGCATAGTTAGCTTCCTCTCTCCCTGCTGGGACGATGCTATCCGTGGGATTTGCAGTCCAATGCCTGCCCCAGTGTGCTCCTTGCCCTAGAGATTACTGTGAGAATTATATTCCAAAGTGCTTAGGTTTGGTCTATGGCCTTATATCATAAATATTTGAATACATAATTAGCCTAGGATTAACATGACTCGCTGCTACCAGTAACTTTGGAGGTTCAAGTCCACTGAAAGGAATCTTGAAAGAGAGGCCTGGCAATCTAGTTGTGAAAAACATGCTGTTGGAAATCCTCCAGAGCGCAGTTCTCGGGGTCACCAGGAGCCAGATGGACTTGACAGCCACTGCTTATTAAGAATGAGATGATAGTTAAGGGACCATCCTTGCTCGGCAGACTCTGGAGTGCAAAAGGAGGGACCGACACATGAATTACCGATTACCCTTCAAGGGACATGTGCCAATGAAGTATGGGAAAACAGTAAGAAACAGCGCCAATGGGACATTAAATTTTTTCTTGGGGGGAGAGGGCAGAGGACTTTCCATGGGAGATAAATTATCATATTATTATGGGACAATGAGTTCTCAGCATATTTTAATTTCCACTTTGATGCTTAGAAGAAATCCCTGGGGTCTCTTCCAGCTGCAATGTGCTCTGTCGTTTAGGATTTATGGTTCTTTTGAATTCCAAATGCTGATCTCCAGACAGAGTCTTAGATTGTCTTGTGTGTGTGTGTGTGTGTGTGTGTACTTTCCACTTTTTTAGAAGGCTTTAGGAACCCTTTAGAAATAACTGCTGCTGCTGAGCCCATTTGGACTCCTGCAAACTCCATATGCTATAGAGTAGAATGAATGTTCCATATACAGCCCATCCCGAATATCGGCATATGAAACACACAACATTCCTCTAGCTCTTTAATGCTTCCTCCCCACCACTATCATGACCCCAGCTCTACCTTACAAATCCGGCTAGACCAGAGCATGTGCACTGGTACAGAGAAGAGCTCTCGACACAAGGAATCCAGGTCAGATAAACCCCTCAGGAACAGTAATGGGAGTAGCAATACCAGAAGGGTAGGGGGAAACGGGGGGAGGGGGAAGAAGGGGAAGAAAGGAGGAGCCAATTGCCATCCATGATCGACGTATGACACCCCTCCTTCCAGGGGGATGAGCAACAGAAATGTGGGGGAAGGAGACAGCGGACGGTGTAAGATATGAAAATAATCATAATTTATCGAAGGTTCCCGAAGGTGGGAGAATGAGTGAGGGCAAAAAGAGGAGCTGATACCAGGGCTCAATCGAAAGATAATGTTCTGAAAATGATGATGGCAACATATGTACAAATGTGCTTGATACAACGGATGTATGGATTGTTATAAGAGTTGTTAGAGCCCCCAATAAAATGATTTAAAAGGAAAAAATATGTTCAAAGTAGAAAGAAAATTCAGACAAATAAAATTTATCCAACATATTACAAACATTTTGAAGGCTTTTGTGTCAAAACACACACACATATATATCTCATCATAATCTTTATAGAAGCTCTTTGCTTGGCTTCCCCTGTTTCCACAGAGCCACAGGGTCAGTTTGAACTGCCAACCTTCAGGTTAGTTGTCAATTGCAAACCACTTATACTCCATTAGTTCTGTTATCTGATTGAAGAGCCTATGTCAGAGATGTTCTTGTGTAATCATTTTATTTTAGTTAACGTGTACAGTACACACGTTCTTTCACGTGTGGGGCTCCAGGTACTTGGGATCACTGTGGATGGCTCTCCTGGGGCCGGGGGAACTCTTGGATGTATCCGTGTCTCATGTGAGAACTATGGCAGATTTTAGCAGGAGTTCAGCCCGGTGGAGCAGAGGTGTGAGTGCGAGTGAATTTTAAGTTCTAGCCTCTGATGCTTGGCAAGGAGTTAAAACTGTTGCCATCAAGTTGGTTCTGACTCATGGTGTTTCTAAGTGTTAGCATCAAACAGTGCTCCCTGGGTTATTAGTGGCAGATTTTTTTTTAGAAGGAGATCATTAGGCCTTCCTGTCTAGATGCCTCAAGGTGGACTCAAACCACCCACTCTTGGTTTGCAGCTGAGTGTGTGTACTGTTTGCACCACCTGCGGGCTCTGGAGAAGGAGCTGGCATGATAACAAAAAATCACTACTTCTAAAATTACAACTAGGAATCAAGGCTAAGTTGATAAGCCAAAGCCAACACACCAATGAGCTTCAACGACTTATTCTGAGCCTCTGAGTGGCATAATTATGTTGGCAGCCTCATTTAAATCATGAGAGAAATACAGGACTCCCACCTCTATGTTTAGCTCACTGTTCAATTTCAGCAAGTCGTTGGGGACTGTACATAAAACGGATTCAGGATATGAGTGAATATTCTCGCAGCTTTTATTTCCAACTTTTAACACTTCACCTTTAACTGCTTCAGGGTCAATATCGTTTCCCTAGAAGGAGGAAGAGGCGAGAAAGAAAAAAAAATAAAAAGGTTGTTAGCACTTTAGCATTTAGTGGAAACACGATCACGAAGAAACATAAACACACAGAAAATGTTGTCAGAAGCTGGTGAGTTTGGCTCGGACCCGAAGGACGACAGAAACAGACGCCGCCCTGTGCTGTGCATTTCCACAGCCACTGCTCGTCTATTTTAGCCGGGTGTTGAAGCCACCATGCCAATCATCTCATGGCAGGCCTGCCTCATTTTTGCTGATCCACTCTTTCCCCCTCCTGACGTCCTTTTCTAGAGATTGGCCACTGCTAAGAACATATCCAAAGAGTGATGAAGACAGGACAGCCTCGCGTTTAAGGAGCAATCTGGCTCTCCTTCTTGCTGGACGTAACTGTTTGTTCTTCTGGCAGCCAGTGGCATATTCAGTATTCTTTGCCAACACGGTCATTCACATCATCCGTTCTTTTTGGTGTTCTTTATTTATTGCCGATGAGGTGACTGAAGGCTTCGGTTGGGCCCACTTGAGTCTCCAAAGTGTTATCTTTGCTTTTCGGATATGCTAAGTAGCTCTTTGGCAGCAGATTTGCCCCGTACGATCTGTTGTTTAATTCCCTGCCAGCTGCGTCCATGGATGTTGGTTGTGGATCTAGTCAAATGAAACCCTGGACAAAGCCAAGCTAGTTTCTGTGTATCAAGACGGTGCTCCCCGGAAGGACCCATGTTTCCTTTATGTGGAGGCGGCATCCACACCGAAAGCTGCGTCTTTTTACTTGTAAAGCACAGGATGTTTTGAGTTGGATTTCAAGGACGTTTGAATGAGGGACAAGGAACAGGATCCTTTCATGGCACCAACAGATCAGGAGTCACACCATATACATTTTATATCAAGTTGGATTGCAGAAAAGTGGGCAAGAGGTTCTTCGCCCACTCCCCACCCCCAACTTTACGTGTGAAGGGCATCCTACCCATGAGTTTGAAGCATAATAATCTTATTATCGTCTCCAAGTGCTACTACTGATGACTGGCCAAAATCCCACCAGCATCAAGTCCATTCTGACTCATAGTGACTCACAGGGTGTCTGAGGCTATAAGTGTTTATGAGGGTAGATAGCCTCATATTTCTCCTACAAAGTGGCTAGTGGGCTTGAACCACCAACCTTTTGACTAATAGTCTAACACTTACCACAGCACCACAAAGGCTCCTTCGGAAGGCTGGTCAACTCAAGCCATTCAGAGAATCTGTCCTTGCACTGTCTAAAGCTTGCTGTTAGCTGCCTTTGAGTTGCCCCCACTCCTGATGACTCTCATACGCAGTGGTACGAAGTGCTTGCCTGGTCTGTGGCATTCCCATCACCGGCTGTGAAGCACATCTTTAGAATCCACGGGGTTTTCCCTGGCTGCTTTTTGATAGCATATTGCCAGACTTTCCTTCCTAGTCTTTCCTCGTCTGCTGAAACCTGTTCCGCATCCCATCAGCCGGCAAACTCACTGGCAGAGAGGTGGTGGCAGTACTCGAGCTCCTCATTGGCCAGGAATTGAACCAGTTCTACCACACCACACAGAGGGCTAGAATTCTACCGCGGGACCACCAATGCCTAATGTTACCTAACAGCTGTGTGATGCGGTCATTCTCAACCTTGGTTTTACTGAAAGAAGAAGGAAAAAAATCAGTGCCTGGGTCACACCTCCAGGGCTCCTGATGCCATTGGTTTGCTGGTGAAAATGCAGAGCTAAGATGAAAGCCAGACCGTGGGTCCACCTGAGCCTCTCTCTGAGGGAACGCTTGCCCTTTCTGCTTCCGGAGGGCACTTCCTCGTCCTGCAGCCTTTCCTACAGGACTACAATGTGCCTTCCTGGCTTTGAACCCCCGACATTCCAGAATTCACTGTGGAAGAGATTCCTAAAAGATACCATATGATCCTTATTGACTTGAGAACTGTCCAGGATCCTGGACAATCACACGAGGAGTTTTGAAAAATTATCCAATTCAGTTCTTTGCAGTTCCCCCCAAGCATTTTGCAGATATCAATGTTTAGTTGATGGAACCAGGGATTACCTTTGGGGAGGGAGTGCAAACACAGGTTCGATGTCTCATCTCGGCTCTATTAGTGCGGTTATTCTTTCACCAGGTCACGGCTTTGAGGAGCGAGGTCGGTCAAAGCAAATTACCATTTGTTCTCACTGACAAAGCACAGGCAGCCATAACTGGAGGGCCGCTCCTCCGTTTTGCATGTGCAAACTACTGTCACACACAAGGTCGCATGTGCATGCCCATCGGTTGGTAAGTCAGCTATTACTGCTAAGTCCAAAGAAAGTCTTCATGACATGAAGCCGGAGTTTAGGGTAAAAAAATGGAACGGGGCAAATGCTCGCCTCGTGATATTTCTAGAGGCAGTGTGTGCACTCCTTCGAGGCAGGTCGGCTGCACAGGGCAACCCAACTCCGGAGCCCATCAATCTAATCCGTCTCTTTGGGGCTTCCGATGACAACTTGTTGGTTGGGTCCGAGGTGGGCCGCGGCCCTCACTCCTGTCATGGAGGGAAGTCGGGGAAGGACCCGGAGCAGATTAAAGAGCTGGAGGGCTTGATTTATGACGACGGGACGATGACCCGGGTGGGGGAGGGACCGACACGCTGCATTTACGTTGCCGGGACTCATTCTTTTCTGCTCAGCATCTGCTTGGACGTCGCATAAAGGTTTCTCTGCAACCCAAACCGACCAGTCAACCTGAAAAAGGACCTCCGCTGCTTCTGTGTCTGCCCAAAGAGCACGTGACAAGCAGTAGACAGGAAGACCTTGCAAGTGTACAGTAAAACCTGTGAGAGCTGGGACCTGCTGAAGGCGGAAACTGCGAGAAAGTGCAAACATTTTCCGTGAACAGAGGTAAGGCTTGTACCCTGTCAACGGCAGAGAAGGGACCCCCCAAAAGCAAGGCAGTCCCGTCAAGTTCTGCCTCTACAGGTTTCACTGTATATCAAATTACTATCCCTTTCATGTTCAGAATCCTAAAATCCTTCTTTATGTTTTGAAACTCCAAATTGTGGCACCGAAACCATTAACCAAACTCACTTGTCATGGAGTCAGTTCTGATTCCTAGCGACAGAGTGAAACTGCTCCTGTGGGTTTCTGAGACGATGACTCAACTTGACTGGAGTAGAAATCCTTCTTTCCCCCGAAGGCTGGCTGGTGGCTTCAAATCGCTGACTTTGTGGTTAGTAGCCCAATATGCAATCCACGATGCCAGCAAAAAAACCCCAAATAAACTCCGAACTCACTGCCGCAGGGCGGATTAATCTACTATGCCAGCAAAAAACCCCATACTCCGAACTCACTGCCGCAGGGTAATTCGGATCCAAAGGGACCCTCTAGGGTAGAGAAGAACTGCCCCGTGGGCTTTTGAAACCGTAACTCTTTCCAGGAGTAGAAAGCCTCATCGTTCTCCCAAAGAGCTGCTGGCAATTTTGAATGGCTGACCTCATGCTTAGAAGCCTAATGAGTAACCTATTGTCACAGGGCTCCCTAAAAGGCGAACAATGTGGAAAGATCTAAGCTATTATAAATTTCTACTTTTCTAAATCGTAAATGATACTGCTACTCACGACTATACACCAGAGACATCCTGGTCAGGGTGGCTACTTTTTTTCCCTTTATTTAAAATAAACAGCATTGTGTTGAACTATGGAAACACCCGTGGTTAGAATTAAACATTTCATTATGAAATAAGAGAACTTATTTTAAAGGTGTGCTCTGTTCTTTGGTGACTCAACCAATAAAATTTGGATTTTGAAATACAGCAACCAGAGGGAATGCTCTAATCTCAAATCCCCTGCATATACACCTTTTAAGTACCGTCATCTCATTTTTGTCCTATAAAGGTTCATTGTTCTTCACACTCTACACATGCAGAACAAGGGTTCAGATAGACAATGAGACTTGCCCCAGGTCAGAGTGAAAATAAAATTCCATTTGACACCACGCCTACTTAGCGTCTGCTGTGTGTCAGACTGAGGCGCCCCGGTTGCACAGTGGTCAGCACTCAGCTGAACCCACCAGCTGCTCCCAGGGAGAAAGATGTGGCTTCTCTAACAATGTACAGGCTTGAAAACCTGAGGGGGCCGTTTTGCTCTACCCCGTCGGGATTCTATGAGTAGGAGTCCATTCGAGGACGAGTAGTACTTGACCACTGCGCTACCAGAGCAGCAGAAGTCATCCAGAGGATACGGATTCTCCAGACCAGGAACGAGACCAAAGGACTTCCATGGATGGTTCCACAGGACAGGGGAAAAGCTCCTGGATTATCTGCGAAAAGTTGGCACATCCAAATTAAATTGGTTTCTCTATTGACTTGGGATCTTTATTACTCTTGCTGCTGTGGTCAGTTCCAATTCAGGACAGCCTGATGGACAATAGACCACACAAATGGTCGCCTGGTGCTGGACCATCTTCCTACGTACGTTTGAGTCCACTGCTGCGGCTGCGGTGCCAACTCATCTCATCCGCGCTTCTCTACCTTACTAAAAGTGCCCTTATTCAGAGATTGGTCTTTCCAGGTGCCATGTTCAAAGAAAGTGAGTTGGCATCTTGCCATCTTGCTTCTAAGGAAGATTCTGGTTCTATTTTTTCTAAGACATTTTGATAGTCCCTGGGATAGCTGACATCCTTAAACAGCGCAGTTCCAGCAAATCACTTCTTGTGTCTATTTTTTAAATTGTTGACCTCCTGCATGGATATGAGGTAACTGAAAAAAACCATAGGTTGAGTCAAGTACACCTTAGTCATCAAAGTCACATATTTGCTTTTTATTACTTTAAGATATCTTATGTAGCAGATTTGCCCAACGTAAAATGTCCTTTGATTTTTTTTTTAATCCATACTTCTATGGATGTTGGTAATTGATTCTAGTAGAATGAAATCATTGATAATTTTTAGGCACTGTGTGGTAGTTACATAAGCTTCGCTATTAAGAGTGAAGGGGTGGAGTTTAGCCTGTCAATCAGGTCGCAGCTTGATGACCTCATTTGGAGACACTAAGGAGATAAATAGCTCACTGGAGGCGTGACATACGCTCACTCCCTGGGAGACATTCCTGCTGACAAGACACATGGAGCTATACTAGGGCCTGGAGCTGGAGGAGCCTTGTACAGACCCCTGTCAGTGCTGAGATGCTTACACTGCCACTGGATCTACAAGTCTTTCCACCCACTGGCCTGTGATCTTTTTTCCTGAATTTAGTGTCATTGCATGTGCTGTGTGAGTCTGAAGAATTTATAGACTGATAATCGACATAGGGGCTAATATCGGATTTATGGACTTGACCTAGACTGGGCTGGGATGTTTTCTTAATGTACAATTGCTCTCTTACACACAAACACACACTGCAAGAACAGATGCTCTTTCTATGGTCTGGAATAGATTTTTCACTGAAAGCCTATTAATATAGGGAAATATTGCTTTGAGGCTAAGATTGGGGCACCATCAATAAGAAGAGATCTTGACACTGGATTAAACACGGCACCTGAGAAAAGCGTCCTTCACTGCCATCTTGTCTGGAGTAGAAATCTTCATGGGAGCTGGGGTTGGGACTGGACATATGGTTGCTGGTAAATTAACCAGAGAGGAAAAGAAGACAAGACGAACTGAGCAGTAAGTGGACTGGGTTGGCTCAGGGGCCTCTAGAGCAGAGCCAAGCTACTTTCTAGATCCTTCTGAGGCCCAGAAATGGCTGCCTAGACTCTGTTTGAATTCTTGAATCCTCATTCTTGTGTTTCAGTGCCAGAGCCTGAGCCTCTGCACTTTGCATTAGCCGATCTTCTTGCCCTTTTCTTCTTGACCCAGCTGCCTTCTCCAGAGAGGACTCATAAAGCATATAAGGGGGCTTCCAAGAGTTTGTGGAACAACTTCATCATTTTTTCATTCCATTTTCCATGTACTTTTTGAAGTACTCTTGTGTATTACAAAATGCTTCCGAATAAGACAAACTCCCAGGCCTGTGTCTCAGACCAATTCTCTTCCAGCTCAAGTTCCTGCACCACACTTTGTATTCCTCTTCTTTCCATAAAATAGGCTCACACTCTAAAAGTACAGTAATAGAATAATCAGGAAAAAAAATACAGTTTCTTTAAACAGAATCAACTTTGGGGTACTTGAAAAAAAGTTTAGAGGTCTTTCACTCAAAAATTTGTGTGTATGCATGCATAGGGATATCTCAATCTACCTATGATAGAAATATTCTTGTATCATGAACAGTGTTTTGACACATAATAAGTCAAAGTTAATACGAGAAGTATTGTGATTTAATGGCTATCAGACTGGATTGGGAGTCAAGGAATTTGAATATGAGCTCTAGCTGTGTTCCCTACTCCCTGGGTGACCCAAGACAAATGACCCAGTCTCTTTAAAGATCAGTTTATTTATTTATAAATGGGGTAATCATCACTGATCTCACCACTTTATAGGTACAAGGGAGACTCAAATCAAATAATATGTCAAAGCGGTGCATTAAGTGTAAAAATCCATATAGTTGATATACTCATTGTACCTTAACATACTCCCACAGAGATGCCTATTGCTAGTGATCTCTGTCCCTATCTGGTGCTGGCTGCCTAAACGCCTTGGCCATAAACTACCTTCTGCATCAATGGGGTTTCTGATTCATTCTGAAGTCCTTCTTGTCCCCTCTCAACTCAAAGTTGGCTGACCCCTTTTGGCTATGATGTAGTCATAGGTCCAGCTACTGACTAAGGCTGGGGCTGGAAATGATGGCAGTCTCTTTGTAACCCAAGAATTCTTGCATGCATGGTTGCTTGAAGAATATGAACTTTTCCTGGCGATGAAGAGTAAAGCTCACTCCAAACACACGTTTCCATCCACAGCACTTCCATCGACAGAACACAACATCCTGCTGTGCATGCCAACTGCACCAGCACCGCAGGAAAAGAGATGGTCGGCTTTCTTTGGGTAAAAACAGCCCACGGCCTGGCCAGAAGGCAGCGCCTTCTCTTTTCATTTCTCATGCTTTGCTTCCCTTTGTTTCTGCCTAAGGGAAGCAGAGGACTTCATCAATTTTTGATATCGATAAAGGGTTAAATTGCCGTCACTACACATATACACACACATACTCTTACTCCTTAGATGACCTCTTATATCCATGGAAGAATGAAGTTTGGGAAAAGATTGAATCAGGGTATAAAAGAAATACCCCTGAACTGTCTCTCTCTCCACCGGATGCCTACTCTGTGACATGACAGGTGCTGTATACGCTGGTTAAAGAGCAGACTCATCCTGGAGGTGGCACGAGAAGAAAGTGCTTTGTGTGTCTGTCGTCAGACTCCCCTTGGGCCTTGTTGGGAAAAGCATCGACAGATTGAAGATGATGTCAAATCATGTCTCGCTTGGTCCAACAATTTTGTAGGATGTTGAATAAAGGGTATTTAATTTATAGAAAAGGACATTTTTCTCTTCTACGCAGGACTATTCTTGGGTGGGTACAGAACCATTTATCACTAATCCTTCTGTCATCGATACAGGAATAGAAAAAAAATAGTTTTTCTGGGCATAAAAATATGTGCACATGGGCCTTTGTTTCCATCAAGAAAACCGAGTGGAATCTTTCAAACGTCAAACACAGTAATTGTTGAAAGCAAAAGGTCACACTAGATTAGTTTTATTGAAAAAGAGAAGAGAAGTGATAAAAGCTTCTCTTTCTAAAACTAATGAAAGAAGCGATGAAAGAACTTTGTGGTGGTAAACACGCTCATTGAAGCAGGCTTCCATTTAATTTCATGCTGGGTTTGCTTAATTATCATTCCAAATACAATTGTGAGTTTAGTACACTTGTGAGTGTCAATGTGTGCATGGGTTGAGCTACGGATAAAATCTTATTGAAAAAGCAGAAAATACAATTTTAATAGAAATACATAATGGCTTAGATGCAGATGACCTCTGGGAGTCAATGTTATATTTAAATAAGGACGATCCTATTGCTTGCTTTGAGTTTGTCCACATTGTGTTTGTTCTGGGTGTCTACAGCAATTGCGTTTGTTGACTTGTGAGTGCTGTATGGTTGATTCTGAAGGACGGATGTGCTGTTGTTCCCAGTGGACAGGGAATGACACTCTTGGTCACGCTGCCTGTTTGATTAGTAATTCAAGTAAAGGTGACAAATGCAACACAATGGAACTGTATTCTAGTTTTGATTTGGCCACTAGTGCAATGCTTCTGATGCCATTTCACAGCACTGGGCTTCCGTATTTTCATGTACAACAGGCTGGGTTCATCCTTTGGTGAAATGCTAAGTAGAGGTTAACATATTCTTTTTTTAATTTTTTAATTAAAAAGTTTTTTAAAAACATATTCTTAAAGTCATGGCAATCCAGTTCTATTTGTAAATTGGCTCAGAGTTGATCACAGTCAGACAGTAAATTCTAAGTACTAGACGGACTGACGGACTACCACTGATGCATTGCATTTCGTGGCTTTTACTTTGCGGTGAATACATTGACGTGTCCAGGGAAATGTAGGGCATCTGCTGGGAAACGCGTTCACTGGGAGTTTCTTTAATGGATGTGTGTTCCACATTGGCTACTTTTCCATATACACACAGGAAAGGGCTTTTAAATGCTTCATTAAAAGGCAACCCATGCCCATACTTATTGTTTAGTCTTATGCCAAAAAAAGATTTGGAGCTTAGATATTGGCTGATGGCGTTTCAGATAAAATGACAGAATACAACCATTCTATTCACATAGCTACAAGTCAATTAAATTCAAACTGATGATTTAGGAGAACATTTAAACATTTCTTACCTTAATTTCCAGTACATTCTCATTGCCCATTGAGATCATCACTGGCTTTTCAAAAAGCTTAAACACAGGATTAGGTACATAAATGAGATCAAAGTCCCTGGAATGGATCCCATCTAGCATGAAGAAGGCCGTGGCTTTCAGGGGGAGTTGCAGATCCAGCTGTTGCAGTGAAGGAGTCGTACAGCAGATTAGCTCTGAATTAGAGCGCTGTTGACATGCCTGCAGCAAGACACAATTATGCACTGTAAACAGAATGCAGCGGGACATCAATAGCAGCTTTCACATTGCACAATTTCAGATAGCCAATTCAGAGTATATACTTTCTGGGGGGAAAAAAAGTTGCTTTTAGCTTTCGAGTTTCTGGGAACATGATAGATGCCAATTTATCCAAACAATCCAGTCTTCAAAGGGAGACAAGGGCTTCGCTGGCCTGGAATAAGCTCAGTTGATCTCTCTGGAACCGGCCCTCCCTCAATCATTTCATTTTCCCGAAGACGACCTTGGTTTGCACATTAGCTCTAAACCACGCTGTGGGAACTTCAGCAAAGCCCTTCCTTAGGAACTTGGCTCTCTTATTCAGAAAGTAAGAAGGCAATATTATACAGAATATGGGATGCTTCATAGTAAAGGGCTTTGAACATTGGCAAGTGACATACAGTTCACATAATAATTAACTCTGGAACTAGGTAATCTTATTAGTAGGTCTTAGGCAATTGATTACTGAGTGCCAGGTCTATGCAAAATGCTTTACAAAGCTGGCCTCATGGAATTCTCAGATTCGCCCGATGCGGCAGGCGCTACGATTACTCTCATTTTACAGATGGAGAAACTGGGCTCTCAAGCTTGCATCCTTCAATCAGATCACAGAGTTGGAGGCACAAACTCAAGGCCACCTGACCCCAGAACTCAACTGTCTCTATCCCAAGTTATACTGCTTCTTGTTTTCTATTTATTTATTGCATATAATCAATCTTTTCCCATGGTCCCTATTTTACAAAGTCTGTGCTATTATTATTAGGAAGCCCTAGTGGTGTTGTGGCTGCTATGTTTTAAGACACTAACTGTGAGGCCAGCTGTTCAATTCTACCAGTTGCTCCATAGGAGAAGATGACATTTTCTGCTTCTGTGAAGAATTATAGCCTTGCAACATATGTACAAATGTGCTTGATACAATTGTTGCACGGCTTTTATAAGAGCGGTAAGAGCCCCCAATATAATGATCTTAGAAAGAAACGCAGCCTCGGGAGGGGCAGTTCTACTCTGTCCTGTGGGGTGCTAAGAGAATCGACTCGATAGCAGTGGGTTGGGTTTGGCTTGCTTGGTGCTATTATTATTTCATGGTCTCTCATCGCTCAGTTGGAATATTCTCATCTGGAATTCTGATTTAAGGAATCTGGAGAAATGTGATTTCCTCTGGATTGTGCTTGGACTACACAGCAACACAAAGTGGTGTAAGTATAGTAAGTAAAGCTGAGTTCCCCCTTTTCTCCCAAGGAAAAGAAAAACAAGCAATAGCATCCCTTTGATGTCCCTTTTTTTTTGGGGGGGGGGGACAAGGACAGCTGGAGGGGAAACATTATTTACCTAGGTCCACAATAGCAAAAGGACTGTGAATAAACCTAACACTTGGTATCTGATCACTAAAAAAATTTCAATTACTCTATATTAAAAATATGTGTTGTAAACATAGAAAACTGATCCATTGACTTACTAGGAAAAAAGGATTAATTTTACACCAAATTAATATTTTAAAGCTAAATATTATTCGTTCCTATCCTCTTGAAGAACATAAATGTACAATCTTCTAATATTACAGTAATTCTCTTCAACACAAGAAGAAATTTGAATACAAATACATAATAAATGGCTTATTTTGGGGAACAATACATGACTACAACATTTTGTTAAGAAAGTACTGATTAGTTTTATTTGAAAAAATTAAGAGTTTTCATGTTATTTTAAGAGTTATTTTGACTAGCTCTCTATCTCCAAACCAGAATCAGACCTGACCAGAGAGGTTTGATTTGTTAAATATGAAGAAGTTTGGTGCATCCTGGCCAGTCTCAAATCCTGTAAGCAGCAGGGAACATGGTAGGAGCACAAGTCTCTGTTATGAGAAACAATAGTCCACGAGGCTGAGCTTTCCACTCCTGTTCAATTCTATAGATAGTTCTATTGTTCTAAGGGCTTTGGGGCTAACATAACGGAACGTTATCTATCTGGATAGCAACAAGATAAGAGTTTTATTTTACTCAATTGTTTGCATCTTTGGGAGATGCAACTCTACTTCTGACACCTGGAAGGTTTTTACTAACGAGGTGGTAACACACGGAGGAGGAGGCCAAGAGGAACGCTACAAACAAAACCAAGTTCACTGGGATTGAGTCAATTCCAGCCCAAAGTGACTCTCTGGGCAGAGAAGAACAGCCCCGGAGGGTTTCTGAGGTTGTTAATCTTCACGGGAGCAGAAAGCTGCATCGTTCTCCGGCGAGCCACTGGTGGACTCAAACTGCAGCCCAATGAGTACCCCACCACCCGGTGTGTGTCCTCCGAATGCTAGTGAGGAGAGGGAAGGGAAGGCAGTCATTGTTTTAGCAATGTAGGCTTGGCTCTGTGAGATCAACATACTTTCTCAGCTTGCTCCTTTGAAAACGGTGTATGCCAACACCAAGGAGCATGGCTGTGTTTAATTTTTAACCTGGTGATTGGAAACGGCTATGTTGGTTGTGCAGTACTGATGTCCTTTAAATGAACAGCAGTGGCATTTTAACACGGTTTGTGGCTGTGTGTGTTGGTTGGTTTCAAAGCCCTTTGCCTCATAGGATGACTCCCTGGAGTGGAATCTCTCAGGAATATGATAACAATCTAATAAGACTCTATAGAGATGATGCAATGTGGCTGACTGAGAGGTCAAGAAAAACCTCATTGGCGATGCCCTTATTGTTTGGTGATTTGGCTTGACATTTTTAGCACGAAATTGGTTTTTGTAATTGAAGAACACCGTGGCTTTAGCCATCAAGAAGTAGTAGATGGAAACCTAAGAGGGCGTACCATAATTCAATCTATCGCCTGCCCAACGGAGACCCTCAGCTTGAGAGGAGCATGGAGAACCCTGATTCTATGCTGAGCGCACAAATTCCGCTCGGAGGTGTGATTTTTATTACAGATAAACACAAACACACATTTACAATCTTTGTCAATAACCCCTACCTTTCTCGGAGCTGAACTGAAATGACCACAAGAAAGAGACCTGTGTAAATTGTTACAGCACAAAATGAGTCTACCACTCACACGGAGGCATTCAAGCTTAATTTTAATAAGCCTGGCACATAAGCAAAGGTGGGAGACACAGCAAATGAGGTCCCTATTCTAGGGCACAGAATAAGGACTGCAGGGCTTCCTTGCTACTCGATCAGAGAAAAGTCAGAAAAGGAGTGGACGAAAGCCTGGGTGCTGCTGCGAGACAGGTGCGGTTGCCAAGGGCTGCACTGCTGAGGCTCCTGGGGGCACGAGAACAGCGTGGTTTCCTTCTGTGCTGATCGTCTTTCAATACATCGTCTCAAGCTAGCTATGATCATTTCCGTCTAGACCTGCTCTGTCATGCTTGCATAAACACACACACATATATTGACTGCGCCAAAGTGGAGTCCCTGGGTGGGGCAACAGTTAGCATTTGGCTGCTAGTCTAAAGGTTGGTTGCAAACCCACTAGAGGCGGTGCCCAGGAAGGGCCTGGCAATCCATTTCTGAAAGCTCATAGCCACCGAAGACCCCGTGGGCTGCGGTTCTCCCCAGAAACACCCGGGGTCGTCATGAGTGACGACGGACTCCTTAGCAGGTTTGGTGTGGGTACATACACAAACACACACACACACACACACACACACACACACACACACACACACACACACACACACACACACGGCTGGGGGTTGATGGGGTTACTCGCTGGACTGCAAGGTCAGCGTCCGCACCCACCAGGGGCTCCAAAGGGAGAAAGACTCTCACCTGTAGGGAAGTTCTCCCCTGTCTTACAGGGTCTCTGAGAGTTGGAATCGATTCAGTGACTGTGACTCTGTGCGTAGGTGTGTATATACATTAAGTGTTCATATAGGTATGCGTGTATATATATGCATTTTTAGAAGTGTGTAGAGACACTTCATTATCTTTCAGTTCCATATTCCACAAACTGAAGCCCGCTCATACACACACTTAAATGCAGATATATTCTAATGGTGTGAGAGCAAGAGTCTAGATGGTGTTTGCTCTTGAATGAAACACACCGTTTGACTTAAGCATCCAGAGATATGCTTTATGCCCTGAGAGTCAGGTGGTCGAGGCAGAGCTGCAGAGCTGCATGTTACCCATCTCTCAAAGCACTTACCACTGTGAAGTTCATTTCCGCTTCATGGACGTTTATGATCATCCTTGGGACACTAACTGAATTCAGATTTTTTCCAACAACTGTTATTGTGCTTCCACCGCTGGCAAAATAAAACAGGAAAATGGTGATGGTGGTGAGAGGTTCTTTCCCTACCAAGTATTTGAAGCGAGAAACTCAATGTAGTCACATGGAATGATTACAGGTTAGTGCAGCCAAAGTCAAATGAAAGTCAGTGATAAGTCTTCTTTGAAACCAACTTGTACTAACTTGAAACATTTTTTAAAAGGCATAGTTCATAGGCTAGAGAAATGGATTTTTAATTTTCTTAATCACAAAACACACAAAAGAAATATGCATTTTTCCCTCTCGGAAAGGAATACAAAAATGAAATAGACTATTATTGCTACACTTATCAAATTGAAGCAAAGGAGGCTGACTGAACTGGGTCCATTGAGATAATGATTCAAAGGGAGGCTGGCATAGGGGGAATCTGCGAGGGAAGCTGGCAGAAAAAAATACAGACAGGTGGGGAAAAGAAAATGATTCTAGCTTGGGGCACTAAATTCAGTCTAGAGTCGATGTGTATATAATAATTTAAGAAAACCTACATTGCTGCATTCAGTTGCTTTACTGGTGTCCATTTAAAGCCTAATAGAACAGGGCTGAATGCTTCTTGATGTGAACACGAACCAAGTGAAGCTGTCACTCTGAGCTGGAAAGGCAGCCTTCAAAAGAAATGGCCCAGAGTTGAAGCCAAGCACAGAGCTCCCACTCCTCATGGCCATCTAGAGTGAAACCGTCCTCATGCTCTTCATCGTCTTAAGCCTACCAGAAACTTTCACTTACCTGACAAAAGATTTGGTTGGATGGATTTCAACGACAAGGGGATTTTCCTGGTAACTGAAGCTGTAGGCCTCTCGGTTGGCTAAGTCAATCTTCAACTTAACAGGAAAGTCAGCTGAAATGCTTTGGGCTGGAGTATAGCATTCGAGAACACTATCTGACACACTGAGTGGAAAAATCAAGAAAATAGACCAATGCTGTTAGAGAGAAAGATACTTCTGAACTAAGCTTCTGAATCAAAAAGATATTACCCAGCGGCTCTTACATGGGGATTTCCTGATACACTGGCCTACAACAACTTTTTTTTAAAAAGTGTAGTCTGTGTATAACTGAATGGACCCCAACTAAGGTATGCTGTGGACTGGTCATCCCTGACTGATATCCATACCTTGGCAATTTTAAGCAATTTTTTTAGACAAACATTCTTTAGGAACTTGATTAATCAAGCTTCTCCTACTTTAAGCCATAGAAACACAAGCTCCCCTCCAAACCCTTCTCTCCTCTGCATCTTTCCACCCCCAAAATATTTGTATGCTTGTGAATCTTGATGGAGATGCTTATTTTAAGTAGCTGTCAGTTACCAGCATCTCAAAGTTCGTAGTTAGGATATTAAGGAGTGTGGATGATTAAGGTGATGGGAAGACAAAATTAAAAAGTGGAATTAATGAACAATAAAGGAGAGGTAGCGACGCCAATAAAGAGGAGTAGGTGGGTTTGGGAAAGAGGACATTTTGCCACCAAGAGAGAAAATATAAACATCTTAATTTTTCTCCCCAGGAAAGGCAAAATATTTGTTTGATGTGTTAGGTACAGATATTCATCCAACTTGACTGATGAAATACAAAACATATTTATAGTACCTTTTTAAAGTACATGTTTTTCCACCAATTGAAATGTGTCTAGAATTTCCACTGTTAAGGTACTTTCCAGTTAAAGTAACCAAAGTGCCACCAGCCTTCGGACCGTAACTTGGAGAAATACTTGTGATTTCAGGATCCTGAGTGGGAGATACAAAAATAAAATCAAGCAGCTTGTTAATCTATGATAGTTAAGTAAACTGCATAATAATAGTCACCTATCCTGGTGCAGGAGACAAGTAATGCTGAGACTCACCACATAGGAAAATGTCCTATACTGCGGCGCTGTCCCTCGGACATTTGAAATAATGATGGATAGATTGGAATGCTCACTCATTGCAGGACCGACGGTGCATTTCAACCTGCGGAAAGCAAGGTGTAATACATTACAGATTTGAAGGCATTTATTTTCTCTCTTGACTATTTGAATGGCCTCTAAGTTTGACCTAACTACTCTAAGCAGTAGGTATGGTTTTCTGGCAATTAATAACGTACAGATTTTATTTCTGCACTATTATGCCAAGCTTAATACTGACTGTATTGTAAATATATGTACAAATAAAGCACGAAATATTAAAACTCATTAAGGTTAACCTCACGGATTAAAAAGACACAATAAGGTAAATCTAAGTCAATAAAACTGCAGGGGCAATGTTTGTCATAAAACCCAAACCAACTCCATGGCTAGGGAGCCGATTCCACCTCACAGCAACCGTCTAAAGCAGAGTGCACTGCCCCCGTGTGTTTCCGAGATTGTAAATCTTCATAGGAATAGAAACCCTTGCTTTTCAAAACCTATCTGTAGGCAACTGGACATCCCCTTACGGAAGGGTCGCAGGGAGGAGACGAGCCAGTCAGGGTGCAGTGTAGCAACGATGAAACATACATCTTTCCTCTGGTTCCTAAATGCTTCCTCCCCACCCACTATCATGATCCCAATTCTAATTTATAAATCTGGCTAGACCAGAGGATGTACATTGGTACAGATAGGAACTGGAAACACAGGGAATCCAGGACGGATGATCCCTTCAGGACCAGTGGTGAGAGTGGCGATACTGGGAGGGTGCAGGGAGGGTGGGGTGGAAAGGGGGAACTGATTACAAGGATCTACAGATAACCTCCTCCCTGGGGACGGACAATAGAAAAGTGGGTGAAGGGAGACGTTGGACAGTGTAAGATATGACAAAATAATAATTTATAAATTATCAAGGGTTCATGAGGGAGGGAGGAGCGGGGAGGGAGGGGGAAAATGAGGAGCTGATGCCAGCGGCTTAAGTGGAGAGCAAATGTTTTGAGAATGATGAGGGCAACGAATTTACAAATAAATGTGCTTTACACAATTGATGTGTGTATGGGTTGTGATAAGAGTTGTATGAGCCCCAATAAACTGATTTAAAAAAAAAGAAAGCCTTGTCTTCTCCTGAGAATTGGCAGGTGGTTTCAAACTGGTGACTTTGAGGTTCTCAGCTCAACACATAACTACTACGCCACCAGGGCTTCTTATCATTCAGCAGACTTAAGACAATGAGGTGGCATTTCAACAACCAGTGAAGCAATAATGGGATTATCAACAATGATCTGCATCTCTTCATTAAAGTTTGACAACAGGTACCTTTCTGTGGTTACAGTTGTCACCTGTTTGACTCCATTACTTAAAAAAATAAAAAAAGAATGAACTTTGAATAGGATTACTTTTGAATTAGTACTCTTCACACAGAAGGAGTCCCGGTGGGACTGTTAACAGCTCAAAACCATCAGCTGTTCCAACACGGAGGCTATCCACTATTGTGGAGATTCACGGCCTTGGGGACCCTCCAGAGGGTAGCGATGAGTGGATGACGGTGCGTGGGTTTAATCTTAGTGTCGTCATAAAACTGCATGTGTGCATGCTGTTTCCTCAACGTGTGTTTGAGAATAAATCATACATCACTAGTATAGGCCCCAATTCATAATGCAATGATTAAGAATTTTAGAGACCTTGCCAGGGAGATTTCCAGAGTTACTTACTTTGGGTCATTAAGCTAAACAAATGTGAAATGAACTGAAATTTAGTCTGAGCAAAATGAGGAGGTTTAGAAAGCCTAGAATCAATTCTACTGCCTATAAGAAGACCACTTGCTACACTACGTACCATGAGGACCTGTCTATAAAACATTAAGCAGATGGTAGTTACTGATAATTTCTGAACCCTCTGTTCACTCTGAGATTGAGGAATTATTGCGAAGGTCCATGCAGAATATAGTCACCAAAGCACAGGTCGTGGGTCAGGAGAGCTGAGTGCGAAGCCCTGCGCAGGCCCTTCCCTTCGGGTTACCTCTACTATCCACTCTCCGTCTCAGAAGGCCAGCCCCTCCACCGTGTAGTATTTGGAATAGTGCTGTCCCCTCCAAGGACTTGGAGATGCTAAATGAGATGCACCCTATACATGTTGGTGCCAATAAATATGAGCTGAACATAAATCTAAACTCATCTAAAAAAGCAAGTCTCGAATATATGATTCAGTTGTTTCACTACACTTTCAAGATTTAGACCATCAGTTCCCAAACGCACTTGGCCTACTGCTCCATTTTCATTAACAATAAATATATTCCTCAGCGCCTCTTTGGCAAGAAAAACTTTGGACAATAGCCCATATGCCAGGATAAAGTGTAGGTTTCTGCTTTTGCTACCCCCACCCCCTTGGGTTATTCCAGTACTCACCTGAGAGGACAGTATCACTTGTTTTGGGAAAAACTGGTTTAGAAGGTGAGTTTGGATGAGGGGGACCATATTGAGTGGCTACTGATTCTTACAGACAATGCCTGTGGAGTCTCTCCATTGTGAGGCCCCACTGAAGTCACTCTTTCAAGTCAACCCAGACTACTTTTGAATAGCTGTTACATTGTCGGTTATTAAGAAATTTCTCAGATGCTGGATTTTTTTATCTATCTATTCCCCCCACCCCCCATAGAGGCAATCCATCCCTTCTTTGCTGAATCCTTATGAGCAGAGAAGGGTTAAAACCTAAACAAACTCCAGAAGAGATTTGGTAGATTGATCAAGAGTTGGTCTTAAGGAGTGAGTTTTACAATAACCCTAAAAAAAATAATAATAATACCCCCCCCACCCCCGTGTCCTGAAGTTCACGCACAGAGAAGTGTTCTACGATTCTTACATATTTGGTGTGCTCTCGCTCAAGGTCAAGGGGCAACTCTCATTTCCAATGAGAACTCTGGTTCTCTTGAAATCAGACTTATTATTCCTTCTGAACCCAAAGTCCCAGCCACACACTGTCAGAGTGGTCCCTCCTTCAAGGGGTGCGCTGGCTGGGAAAACCTGCAAGAGCAACACAGAACTATTACGAAAAAAGAAAAAAATGAGACAACACAGGTAACAGACAATCCACTACATCATGATCTTTCATACAAACAAATAAAAAATAATAATCTCAAGTATCTAAGGGTATATATTAAACAGACTAGTTCAAGTTCTTCCAACTTCTCATTATTTCATAGAATGGAATTTCCATGAAAGGAAAGGAGTAACCATTTTCAGAGACCCTAGAAGGAATATGTGAAGCACTCATGAAACAAGTTGTTTACAAGGGACGTGGAGACGGGACAAAGAGAAGATTCCCCTCGGGAGGGAAGAAAGGTCTTCCTGGGTCTCTCAGAAGAGAATGGCATCTCCCAGAGATTCTGGGGGGACCAGGGTCCAGATTTTTACATGTTTACAATGCAAACTGGTTATAACTTCCACGGACCTCCAGACCAAATGCCCATCAAAACTCCTTCATGAGCTCTAAGGGCCAAGGGCCTGCCCAGCTCTGCTGTGCACCAGCTGGCTGTGCCCACTGTCTTATCGCTGTGGCTCACCCCGCCTATCGGAGAAAGTCACAGCGGAAAATTCCTCTTTCTGTTTCCCGTGTTTGCAGTTGCACTCAGCGGCTATGATCATGAACGAGCTCCCGCACGTAGCTGCTCCTCATTCTTTCATTCACGCTCGCATGCATTCTTTGTGAAGCACTTCCTGGGCCGTGCAAACTAACATCCTCAGCGGATACCTGAAAGGCTGGTGGCTTGGATTCACCCAGAGATGCTGTGAAAGAAAGTCTAGAACCGTCTTCCCTAACTTCAGTCACTACAACCACAATGAAGCGCAGATGGGGTCCCTCTGCACGGGAACCCACTCCTCAGCAACTGGTGGTACGTGCCAGGCCCCCACCAATAAATGAGGAGCTCATGTTTACCACTAAATTCATGTGCATTATTCACTCCAGAGTTTTCGCCCCCCCCTTCTTTCTCTTATTTGATACCTAACCACGCACTGTCATCGAGTCGATGCTGACGCACAGTGGCTGACACTAGTTGGTTGGAATTGATGCATTTGAATCCGGTTTGGCAGAGAATATTGAAAGTACCATGGATCGTCAGAACAAACAAATCTGTCTCGGGAGAAGAACAGCTAGAATCTTCCTTAAAAAGGAAGATGGCGAGACTTCGTCCACGTAGGTTAGACATGTTATCAGGGGAGACTAGTCCCTGGAAAAGGACATCATGCTTGGCAATGCAAAGGGGTGTGTCAAAGAGGAAGACCGTCAACGAAGTGGATTGACAACAGCGGCTATGGGCTCACACACAGAGCTATTAGGAAGATGGTGCAGGTCGGGGCATTGTTTCTAGCTTTTGTTGCTGTGAGTCAGAATGAACAGAAGGCACTTAATAGCAACAGCAGTGGGTTCATAGATCCCTGAGTGGGGTAACCTGAGGCATGGCAGTTTGAACCCACCAGCACTGTGGAAGAAAGGCTATCTTAGAGGATTGCCACAAAAACTTCAGGGAGCAGCTGCTGGGACTCAGAGCAGACGCTACCTTTTGATCTTGTTAGTTTGGCTGCTGAGTTGAAAGACTTGCTCTTTAAGAAAATTTTAAGTACTTAATACACACAGCAAACGATTTCTATCAGAAACAGATAACAATGGGACGGGGGAGAACCCCAGGAGGAATTGCAGCAAGAATTCTAATGGTCTCCCGTGGCATTATTTTACATCTCATTTCTAGGATTTATTTTACCCCATGTCCGAAGTTAAATAAATAACAGGTTCATTTTGTTATTGCAGGCTCACTTTTGGTGCGATAAAAGTAAAATTGGCCATTAACTAGTTAGACTTTGAGAACTCTGAGATAAGACAGCATTAGGCTATTATGAACTTCATAGACAACTGGTTCCAGGCGAACACGATTAGGAACAAAACACATTTCCAAGTTAAAAATAAGCTTCTCCTCAGTAACTTCAGGACAATTGAGAAAGGAAATGTTTTTTTTTTTGAGGGGGGGACAAATTGTAAATTGTGCTGTAAAGTACAATGGTGGGAAAATACAGCACCACTGGAGACTCAACTCAAAACCAGTAAAGGTGTTTGCTATTGCCTAGCGAGTGAGAGTCTTAAAGTATCTGAAAGGGCTTTTAGCAAAAAGCCAATTTGCAAACATTCCCATCCCTCCCAAGTAAATAATCACAAACCCACAAATTTCCACTTTACCCTTGTTACTGAACCCCCTTAAAGTCTTAGCTTAATGCTTTTATGACAGCCATTTTACCCATAAAATCCATTACACAGTCATGCCTTTCATAAAAATGTACCTCGTCCATATCTAACAACATGAAGACTGCTGGGAGAAGGGGGCATAATCTGTTTATTATTATGTTAGAAATCCAGGAGGAGAGAACAAGATATCCAAGCCTCCCAGGCCTCTGTTCAGCCCGAGGCAGTCACACACCCAGCTGCTGTCCCTTCTAACTAGGAGGCTTCCGCACTGAAAACAGCTGCCCACGGAAGAGGCTGGCCTGGACCCGCTGCCTGCATCCTGCTCTCGCCACAGAAGGAGCCACGTCTGCCCCTCTGCCCACACCACGACTTTCTATTCAATGCAAAGGGGCTGGAGGATGCTTCGGGAGAAGACACTGAGAACTGTTCGCCGGGTGCCCTGGCATTCGAAAAGATATCATATCATAAAACCTCTGTAAGAGATTCACCCTTTGGTAGCCTCTCTCCTCTGGCATGGGAGACAGTAATAAACAGGAGCACTGAATCTCTCAACGTACCCCCTCCCCCGCCCCCCAAGTTTATGGGGAATTGTCATGCGGACAGTGGAAGAAGAAGGAAGTAGCTTGGGCCCTGCACCCCCTTGGAGAGATTGAACAAATCCAACAGTAAACAATGAGTGATTATGGAGGGCTGAGGAGCTTGGTGGGCAGTAAATGTTTGTCCAGCACAAAGGCCGTGGAGGCTGGGTCACCCACCTGTCTGGACGGGGGAGAACCCGCACCAAGAATAGTGATGGTACTTTCACAGGTGACAGATCACATCGCCGATGAACAGCTGCAACCATATTTGGAAGGATGGTGGTTTCAAAACCCATCAACATAATACACAGGCAACCAGGTGAGCATTACAGTGCACAATGGAGACTCCTCTTCAGTAAGGAACAGTCACAGATACTGGTGACTGGGGCCTGCACGCTCCCAAGAGATCAGTCTTCTGATCAAGCAGTTGTTGTTTATGTCGTACGTCACTGGGGTGGGGTTGAATTCCACAGGGTCAGCAGCTCCAAACCACCAGCTGCTCTGTGGGAGAGAGACGGGGCTTTCTACTCCACAAAGAGTTGGTCTCAGAGGCTCACAGGGGCAGTGCTACCCTGTCCTATAAGGTTGCTGTGAGTCCTCATTGACTCTATGGCAGTGAGTTTTTTTTTTGAGGGTGGTGGTGGGGGTTGGGGGTTGAACTCAATCCTGTCCCCAAAAGTTCAGAATACGTTGGAGAGTGGTCTTCCTTTACCAAAATATTTCTCACCATTCTTTAAGGATGAGATATGATCACAAGTTTGACACAAACAAATAAAAATGACCTTGCAATCTTGAAATCAGTCCTAGGGGGAACTGCGAAGAACTTTAGGGAGTGAACATTATGTACCTTGTAAAACAAGGTTAACTTTCAACTTCCTTTTATTGGAAAGTGAAACGCTATACATTAACTGGGTTTTGTGTCCACTGAGTTTGAGACAGATAAAGAAAAGAGAAGACTAATCTATTTTATTATTATTATTTTTTTTTTTGCAGCGAGAATTTGGAATGTCACGGTCCAGTGCAGCATGAAATCTTCCTAACAACTATGAACCGAAAGGGATTTATGGACTTGGGGCTCCACTTTCCTTCCAACGGCATAGGTCGAGCCTCGCAGGCTTGTGGAGAGTACAACAGAACCCACGGAGGGCTGGTGCTGTGGACAGGGAGAGGGGAGGGAGAGTTGAGCAAATGATGAGATTGCCCCTGCTCAGGAAAACCCTAAAATGGTTACTCTGATTTTAGCCGTTTTAATATTGCTTATGGAAAGGGAAGCGCATCCATGAAAATTAAATGTTTCATTGGGCCAGACTTCAAATTGCTTCCTTTTTTAAAACCCCAACCTGGCTATTTTTGAAATTGTGATTAGATTGCACACACACACACACACACACACACAATCCCCCTATCTCTTTCATGGGATAGCTGAGTTCAGATTTCTAGGGTCTCAAGTTGCCAAGGCTGTGTGTTTATAAAAGTATAAAATGGCCTGTGTTTTAATACTGCATAAATACAACAATACATGGTCAAATTTTAAAAGTGCATAAATACCACAGTGTAGAAGTTTGTTTGGTTTTTAAAAATTCTCTCTGAGCTTATGCTCCGGACGGTCCGGCTAAGTCTTAGCTGTGTTACACCAGCAGAATAGGATTTCGTGAAAATGCACTCACCCCGCACGAATCTTGCCTTAAACCGTAACTAAATGGAACCAGCCATGCGCGGGGGGGTGGTTTTTGCTCTCACTCATACACTCTGTTTACATGGGCTTGAACCAGGCGATGGAGACCTTCAACTTGAATCTTCCACACGAGCCATTTGCTAATGTCCAACGGTTCAGCTTGCAGGCAGACAAAATACATCCTGAGCCCTCACCGGGGAAGCAGTTTTAAGCACAATGCGTTTGAATGAAGACATAAGACATTATCATAGCAATTTTCTTTCTTTTTTTTTTTTTCATAGCAATTTTTATGGTGTCAGATACATGTGGACACAAACTAGGGAGCAGAGGGCTTGTGACCGGGCCTCGGCATTACAGCTCAAGACCACAGCTGGCCCCTAAGTTCTCGGACGGCAGGAAGCACACTGTCCTGGATGCGCATGGGACCCTTGTAAGGACAGGCCCACAGACACTCCTGAGTGCCGGCCTCCCACTTACCTCCGTGTCTCCCTGGGAAGTAACTGCTCATCTCATCAGATGAGACAGGGCCACCATCTAGCTCTGCCTCCTGGCAGGAAGAAACCCCTGTCTGGCCTGCCCGAGCCTGTCTGGGCTCACTGGTGTGCAGGGTTCAGCTTAGGGTTTCTGGTGAAGTCATTGTGTGGAGAAACCTCTGGGTAGATAAGGAAGGTGGCTGAGGAATCAGAGGGCGGGAGAGTCAGGAGGGAGAGGTCTCCTGTGTGAGGAATGAGAGGCACTGCTGCCCAGCCGGCCCATTCTTGTCTTCACGAGGCACTGAAGGGTGAGCCTCGGCCAAAGTAGAGTCCCATTAGTGTGATGGGAACACTTCGGGTGTAGAATGAGGGGTTTTGTGCCAAATGACAGCCCCAGGCAGAACCAAGAGGGAGACGGGGTGTTGGCTGATGAGTGAACTGCGTTTGGGCTTCTTTTCAAGAGTGAGACGGGTGTTTACTGACATGCCCACAAACCGGTTCGCGGAGCTTCTCACCTCATAAATCGTCGGCAGGCAGATCTCTTGAGTCCATGTCCCGTTGGGGCAGTCCTCGGCTCGGGCACACTTATCGTGGCACCAGCCACACTGCACAAAGGGCGGGGCAGAGAGACACTGGCTGCAGGACTGGAAGTGCTCGCAGCCCAAGCCGTCCAGCGGGATCTTGGTTATCTGCGGAGAAGAGTGAGAGCAGGAGCTCCAGGGGATTGTGTGTTCGAGTCAACACCGCGTAGACAAAAGAGATGCGTGAAGAAACTTTTGTAGACTCTGCTGTTGATAGCACGTGGGAGGGATATTATCAGGAGGAGATGATTTACAAAAAACCCAAACCTGAAAAAAGAAAATTCCTGCCTTTCTTTGTTGACACACGTGATCCAAGGTAACTTCACTGCTTGGCAAATACAGTCACAGTTGTGGCAATATCAGAGGTTCTAATCATATCCACTTAAGTTTAGTAATGACCGTCTGTCCTGCCTCAGAGGCATTTAAAATAACAAGAGAGTATACTTTCAGCTGCTGGAAGACACACTGGAACCCCTAGAAAATTCCAAGGAAGTTTAGGTATCATTCTGGCATCAACATGCACTTCCTTCTCTCTGAGAAAAGGGATTAACAGCTGGGATCAGATTCTAACGTGCAGTTTCTGAATCTGTTCGGCCATGAGGTCTGTGTGTTTTTCTCATTGAGAAATACAGGCCCAAAGGAGACATGCCTGCTATGAAGAAAATCTCCCCTAGGTCCAAGGTGGTCCCTAGTCCTTGAATAAAAATGCAATGTGACTTCAAGGTATCTCTGGAATACTGAAGACGCTAACTGAGGACGTTGGGCCTGAGATAAAGAGAGAAAATGCCATTGGTTGTAAGCCTCAGGGCACTCCCTGTGGGGACAGGCTTACCTTCTTCCCGGTGACCACCAGGGTGTAGCCATTTTGGTTTACTGGGTGCTCCACAATGACCTCCGGAGACACAGCATGGGAGTCCAGGCGGAAGTCCACGTGAGGAGTCCACGATCCTGATCGAGAAACCACAACCTGGAACAGACAGAAAGAAAGCACTCTTTGTTCCCACCAGCTCGATTCAAGTCAAAGTGGAAAATACGGACGATAATGGTGATACCAGATGACGAGAGAGCGTAGGTGTCTGAACTCAAGATCCAACGGTTGGTCTCCTTGTCAGTCACTAGCGTTTTCAATCTCTTGCCTGGACACATTTATTGGAATCCCCCCAAGACGGATGCTGGTCTTTCAGTGGTTTCTAGGGAAGGAGGATCCTTCCACTCATCAGCCAATTCCGGCAGACAAACCTTCATCATTGTACTGGGATCTGGAGCAACCAAAATTCTTAGCAGGACTGAAGACCGCTAATACTTACAAGGATTCTGGGTGATGGTTAATTGATTTCCCTGACATTTCCCATTGGACCACTTTTCTTTGACGTAGTGGACTTGGCTGCTTTTCCACCTTACTTATAGATCTTCTGAGATCAGGATAAGCCCATCTCCTCTACAGGATGTCCTGGATGTTTTATAAGCCAGTGTCCCATGATATGTATTAACTTATATTACACGTAATATAAGGTCTGCTTCCAGTCTGATGGTTTTAACAAAGCCGTCTAGGCCGTTTCTGTCCCGTATCATCCTTGCTTTCAGGGATTTCCGATTTGGATGCTTCCCTGTCACACAATTGCTGTTTGTCCTATTCCTGGCACCCCAAAAACAGGAGATGCACCACTTTCATTGTCTAGAGATTGTGACCAAGGACCATCCAGAACCATCACGGAGTGGATTCCAACTCACGGGGACCCTATATGGGCCCTGGTACCCAGGGCTCCACAGGGTCTTCAATGGGTGTGATCCGTTGGAAGTGGATCGCCCAGCTTTTCTGTCTTTCGGGTGTTAGGTGAGCCCTTAACCATTTGCACCATCTAGGGACTCCTCTGATCAAGGACCACCAAAAACAAACACCAAAAACAAACTGACTGTCAGCAAGTCCATGTCAACTCAGAGAGACTCTATGGGACAGCGCAGCACTGCCTGTGTGCTTCCTAGACTGTCACTCTTCATGCGAGTGGAAAGTCCTGTCTCTGTTCCACAGAGCGCCGTGGAACCTTGGGGACCAGCACGTAACTACTGATGAGGGTAAATTCCAGATGACCAGGCGCCAATAATACAGCCAGGCTGGTGAGGCTAGTGCAGGTCGGGTGGCATTTCGTTCTGCTGGGCACGGGGCTGCCGTGAGTCCTAACGGACCCCACAGCACCTCACCACAGCGGGGCGTTCAATACACACGGCCCGCAGGCTGCGGCCACACAGGGGGCACAGGCTGAGCCAGGCTCCGGGCCAGAAATGGACTTTGTGGTATTGCCCCGCATTCTGAATAGCTTTTCACCTCGAAGACTGCGTTGACTTGCCATGGGAGGGAAGCCAAAGGACAAGCGTGGGCCTCCGTGAGAATAAAGTGACTAACCCTTCCTTCTACCTCAGTGTTCTCACCTGCAAAATGGGAATGGAAATTCAGCACAGTCGTAATTCACCTTGAAGAACTCCACGCAAGCTGACCCCAACATATAACTGCTCTCAGCAGCACATTCTTCTTCAGCACAACAATGGATGCGAGGGGTCTGAAATGATTTGGGAAGTTTCCCAAAAGACCTACTTTGCTACCAGGCTGTCGACTGGGAAACTAACTGAGCTCACACAGTCAGAGAGGTGGCGCACCAGGTTTTTTCCTCTCTAACATTTGTTCCACCCCAAACACGCAGTCCTTTCAAAACATCTCCATTAAACTGGCTGGCGGAATTGCACAGAAGTTAAATGACAGGTCAAAGGTCAGTTGGTTGGGGTGGGAAAGGATGGAAACGATTGTTATTCTTAAATTAAGGGCCAAGTAAGGCTCTGTGACCTTGTCTGGCACAATGAAGAGAAGTTCAATGACCCGGTCTCTCTGCCTCTAAAAGGAGTCCTGTGAAAGGCAGGGGAGAAAGGGGGAACTGATCACAAGGCTCTACCTATAACCCCCTTGTATTAGTCTGGGTACTTTGGAGAAACAAATCCACGGCGACTCACGTATAAGAGAGAGTTTTATGTAAAGAAAAGGTGCATCATGAAAACATCCCAACCCAATGCTGCCCAAGCCCACAAGTCCAACATTAACCCATTAACCCAACACCAGTCCACAAAGT